CTGTGGGGAGTTCATTCAGAGGGCCGGAGCTGCCACAGAGAAGGCCCTCCCCCAGGTAGTAGCCAGGTGGCATTGGCTGGTGGACGGAACCCAGGGGAGGCCAGCCCTGTGAGATCTAATGGGTCTGTGGGAGGTAATTGGCAGCAGGCGGTCTCTCAAGTGAATTGCTATCTTAGGAAATTGGGGGGGTTCAGGGCCACCCAGAGATGCTTAGAAAGAGGCTTTGGGGCTGAAGACAGTCAAGAAAACGGTTCAACCAATAAAGGGAAGATAAATTCAGGAAATGGTCAAACTGAGAAGTAAAATGCCAGATCTGATTCCCCCCCCAAATTTCCCACCCTCCAGAGCTCAGTTCTGCTTCTTAAGCAACGTTTCTTGTCTCTCTCTCTGTGGGTGTGTGTGGATGGGTGCTGAGCAAAATTGAACTGGGAAGTGGCACCCACCCACCCCTCTCTCTTCTCCTTCCCCAGACGGAATGCTTCAACTTCATCCGGATCCTGGTTCAGCTGAACGAGACCCACCTCTACACCTGCGGCACCTGCGCCTTCAGCCCCACCTGTGCCTTCATCGTGAGTCTCCGGGGAGCAGCCAAATGGCTCTTGCAGAGGGGGGGGTCCCCTTATACTCACAAAGCCCTTTATTATTCTCATTATCCTCCCCTACATAGCGGCTCCTGAGTGTAAGGCCGGGGGGGGGCTGTTTCGGAGGAGCAGGCTCCTCTCTCTTAACCCCGCACACTGTCTCCCCCAATGGGAGACCCCTGAAGTGCAAAAAAAAGGGGGGGGGAATCAGGTGATGGTTCTATTGCTTGGCCTCGCATTCCTTCCGGTATTACTAATTATGAGCAGAAATTCGTTGCATTCCTTGGCAGAGAGTGAGCCTTGAACACAGGGTTAGATCCATGCCAGGAATGCGCATTTCTGCGGCATGCTTCTGGCTTTTTATTTATTTCTCTTTATTAGATTTTGATCCTGCCTTTATTATTTTGTAAATAACTCGAGGCAGCAAGCATAGCTCATATTCCTTCCTCCTCCTCCTCCTCCTGTTTCCCCCCACCACAACCACCCTGCGAGGTGGATAGGACTGTGCGAGAGACTAGCCCAAAATCACCCAGCTTTCATGTCTAAACCGGTGCCTGGTTTCAGGGCCAGTGTCTTCGCCTCTAGAGTTAAATGGTGTGCCAAGGGGTTTTGCGGCAGGATGGAGGCGTGGGAGAGCCCAGTTCAATTGACGCCCATGGATTCCACAGCTTCCTTTCTCTCCCCCTCGGGGTGGCAATGGGGTAGCAGCCTCTGGAGGCCCAGTGGAAGGAGTTTGGGGTTGTGGGGGAGCTCCGGTTTTGCACCCGGGGCCGAGCAATTCTCCGCAGAGACTTCCCTGCTCTTCTCCCCCTCTCAGCCTCGGTCTCTGGATTCATCATTTCAGTCAATGGGGGGGTCCTTAGAGCAGATCGCCATCAGATCCAGGGGCTCGAAAGGATCCCTGAAGCCATCAGGAGATCCGAGTTTCAAGAGGGTCCCAGGGTGTGATTTCGAGGGCCTCCCCTCCTCCACCCTCCCCTCCCCTCATCTTTAGGCTGTCTTGCAAGTTAATTCTGAAAAAAATAAAATATAACAAAATAAAATACAGGCACTCCTGTATTATAACTTGGAAGGGTCGCTCAATGGGGGGCTCTCTCTGTAAGCGTGGGGTGAGGAGGGCGCCTGTGGGAGGCAGGGAGGGTCCTTTGGGGCAGATCTCCCTTCACCTCCTCCTCCTTTCTTTTCTTGCCAGGACGTAGAGAATTTCACTCTGGTGACCGATGCCAAGGGGGAACCCCTCCTGCAGGAAGGCAAGGGGCTCTGCCCCTTCGACCCCCGGCACCAGAACACGGCGCTGATTGTGGGTGAGCAGAGCTGGGCACCTGGGGGGGGGGAGAGTGGGTGGGCGTGCCCTGGGGAGATTGCCACTTTACAGAAAAGAGGTTGAGACTTTGGAAAAAGTTCAGAGAAGAGCAACTAAGAGGATCAAAAGCCTGGAGATTAAACCATAAACCGGCTGCAGGATTTTGGTCTGGCTGGTTTAAAGAAAAGAAGGATTAGGGGGGACACAATAGCAGCCTTCCAGTATTTGAGGGGCTGCCACCAAGAAGAAGGGGTCAAATTATTCTCCAAAGCCCCAGAGGGCAGGACGAGAAACAATGGATGGAAACTCATCAAGGAGAGAAGCGACCAGGAATTAAGGAGAAACAGTGAGGACAATTAACCAGTGGAACAGCTTGCCACGAGAAATGATACCATCAAGATCACATGAGGTCCTAATACCACTCTCTAAAGCCTTAGTAAGGCCACACCTGGAATCCTGCATCCAGTTTCGGTCACCACGCTACAAAAAAGAGGTTGAGACTTTGGAAAAAGTTCAGAGAAGAGCAACTAAGACAGTGTTTCTCAACCTTGGCAACTTGAAGATGTC